TTTTTTTTTTTTTTTTTTTTCTTTCATCCTTTTTCCATGTTTTGACTGTATGTCATCATGAGAAATTGAACCTAAGTGCAGTGAATTGGTTTCCTGCATGTTGTAAGGGTGATTCATTCCACTTTTGATTAATATATTTTCAGTTACCATGAGTGTAACTTGCAACAACACTTTAGACACTGTACTTAATTACCATTTTCTCTTACTTTGTTGTTGCTGGAAAAATTATCATAGGACAAAATAAATAGATTATGATTCTTCTATTCTGCCTTGTTCACTACTTTCTCCTTTTATTGGTATGTCTCTCATTGCTGTTTCTTAGAGGCCCTTGGGATGCTCTCTCTCCAATTCCTGAGAACAATGCCTTAGCTGTTGACCCTCAGGTTTTTATTTCTTATCTTTAATCTGTATTATATTTCCTTTGATGGATGTTTTGGCTAATTATTAATTTTAGTGTGTCTTTCTGTTTTCAACCTCTATTGCAATAGATGGGATCAATATATTCAGCTGCTGGTGATTCTTGTGCATATTGCTGGGATGTGGTATGTATATGTTCCAGGTGATTAGATTACCTGTTTTAGCATATATAACTATTTATTTTTCCTATCTCTTCCCTTGTAGATACCTTTAAATATCTTTGTTTATTTTGCTAGCCAACTTGTGATGTTTTCAGGAGAAGGGTGAAATCAAAATGGTTTTCAAGGGGCACTCAGACTATTTGCATAGTATAGTTGCCCGCACCTCTTCGAATCAGGTCACCAATTTTCCTCTTTTTATGATCCTTTGTGGTAGCTTTTACTCTAAATGTTCATTTGAAGGAACAGGCTTGCAATTAATAGCTTAATTGCCATCATCACGACACAGACTATTTGCATTGTCATTGTGTAGTTGTTCAATATTAGTTATTACTTTAGATGTTCATTTCAGGCGTTGGTCTGCAAATTACTAATCTAACTGCCACTGCTACCACTACCACTTCCTAGTCCTAGATATCCAGAAGTTTGGGTTTTTGGTCTGTTCTAGTTGATTCAAATAACCTATATGGTTTAAACAAAACCATGAAGTTTGAGATAGAGTTCAAACTTTTTTAATGTTAACTCCATACTTATCTTTCTGATTTTCAGATTGTAACTGGTTCAGAGGATGGGACGGCACGAATATGGGGTAAAAATCAGTCTTCTAGGCAGATGATTGTTTTATTCAACTCTGTTGTAATTAGCCCGTACTTCAATCCACCTAAACTAGCTCCACGGGATATATGCATGAGGTCACGATGGGAAGCTTACAAACGAAATAAGTTTAGTGTAGCTGACATATAATGTAGATGGCTGCTTGTTGCTACGTTATTGTCGTAACTGTTTAGGGATTTCCGTAGCTTAATTTGTCTGCTTTAAGTATTTTCAATTAATCATTTGCTGTCAGTGATTGCTAAGAGGGACATTTGTATGGTGTTTCCTAGATTGCAGAAGTGGGAAGTGCATTAAAGTAATTGATCTGCTGAAGGACAAGAAGTCGAAGGGGCCCATGTCTTTTGTCAGTTGTATTGCTCTTGATGCCACTGAGAGCTGGTTGGTAAGATTTCAATCAGCAAAATCATTATTTCATGTTGGTTTGCTTTCCAGAAAATATGAGAATACCATATTGATAATTAGGCTTTGTCAAAGATCTTGGTAGATGACAAATTAATGTTTCATTATGAGTATCATTGTCACTGCTCATTATTGACTTACCTGTTCTTATCAGTTGAAAAAGAGTTGAATTTAATTAACATATTTTTTCTTTTTTCTTTATCTTTTTACTTGATTTATGGTTATTATTTTTATTATTAGCTAGTTAGCTAGATTTAGTTTAGGAGATCAAATATAATTTAATTATTAGAATAAAATGTTAAATATTTTGTAAATATATTTACAGTATTTACCTCAAAAAGTAATTTTCCACTTGGTTCATCTTGTCTACAGTGGTTTGTTGTTGGCACCTTAGTGTGTTGACATGCATGTAATTGTAATATTTTTTGAGATTTCATTAGTAGAGACCTTTTTTCTGGGTGTCAGGAACGCATTGTTGTTTCCTGCATGTCAACACTACACGGTTGAGTTCCAGTTGAAGTTATCAGCATAGTAGATTAGGCAAAATTATGGTTGAAAAGAGGCCATCGGAAATGTAGATTTCTGGATCTTATGGTTATCTCTTTTATTTGATTCTTACCTTCACAGGCTTGTGGCAGCGGTCGAAATTTATCCGTCTGGAATCTTCCTGCCTCAGAATGTGTTTCACGGGTTGGCAGTAATGCATCCGTGCAAGATGTAGTGTTTGAAGACAATCAAGTAAGTTAGAGGAATAGTACAAGTTTGAACTTATTTATTCAAGTGGTTCTACAAGTAACCCCCTGTAGAAAAATTCTCTAACTTCAAGCAATTTGGGGTTTCTTTTTTTCTTGGTGCAATTTGACAACTTCTAATATTAATGCTATAACTTTATCAGCTTTATTTCCATCTAATACTTGTTTTATCACCATTTCAGATATTGGCTGTTGGTGCAGAACCTCTACTCAGCCGTTATGACATAAATGGCACTCTCATTTCACAGATACAATGTGCTCCTCAATCAGCATTTTCTGTCTCCTTGCATCAATCGGGTGTACGTACAAATTAATTATTTTTCACTTTCTATTTAGTTACACTTAATTGTTTCTCTTTTAGTTTTGAACTTTTTATTTTTGTTCTATGCTTGCATTTATCATTTCCTGCACTTCACTATGTTTACAGTTTTAGTAGTCAAATCCTCAATGCTTTCAAATTATTGATATTCACTTTTCTTTTTCCCATCAGGTTACCGCAGTTGGAGGTTATGGAGGCATTGTAGATATCGTCTCTCAGTTTGGAAGCCATTTGTGCACATTCCGTGTCCATTGTGCATGAAATAAAATGATCTACTAGAATGTCTAGATGGTGGACATGAAAAAAATGAATGATTGAGTAGCCTTCGAAAATGTTGAAACTAGTAAACTTTTAATAGTGGGCTTCACCGCAGCACTACCTGGCTTCCCTAGCAGAACTGGTACTTGGCAACATGTGTCGTTTTTTCATTTTGAACAGTAACTGAAGTGTCACTAATTATTTGATTAGTTCTCACCATACTTACTTGAAGGACTTGTATAAACCTAGTATTGTCATTTTCTTTTGATCAGCAAACTCGGTTATTTCATAATGTTTAATTTGGTCCAAATGGAATGTTTCAATGGTTAATGTCTTCAGTTTTTATACAAGAGTTATCAAGTTTAAACTTCACGACGGGGTGGAAGGGGTTTGAAAAGGCGGAGAGAATTTCTCTTGTATTTGTATGGTCCATCTCCATCAATCGGGAGAATGTTAGGGGAAAATGCCATCAGGAAGAAACTTGTACAATTGTGTGGTGCTTTCCATATCGGCGCTTGGTATTCTAGAATTTGATTTGAATCTTGGTTAGCTCAGGGTAAGCTCAAATCGACGATTCTTATGCCAAAGTTCTGCACACAAAAAAAAATCGTTGTACCTTGTGGTATATTCCCAGTGGGTTGTGTTGATGCAACATTTAGATACACGTCTCAGAATTAATCTTTTTTCAAATGATTTTATATACTAAGATGATATTTGTTATGTTTTATATGTTTAAGTGATTTGTTATTTATTTTTTAAACGAAAATCCTTGCGTTTGATATTTAAATTTTTAAATAGAAACGCGTGTCTTTAAATAGTTTATCACTGTCTTGAAATGAAAAACACTCCAGATTTGATGTTTGAATTTTCAAAATGATTTTTCTCTTCTCCACAAAAAGTCAAAGATTATTTGTAAAGTTGTTAAAAAAAAAAAAAAACTGTTCAAAAGGGAAAAAAAAAGGAAGGAAAACAGGGTTAGCCGCCAGCAGCCACATCAGGGTCAAATTCGGAAACGCAACAGTTACATAGCTATCCGCTCTGGAAGGCAAAAAATCTTTGTCTCACTTCAACACTGTCTTCTTCACCTCTTCCTTAAAAGTTGAATCATCTTTCCTCAACTCCGCGGCGTAGATCCGAGGAGTTTGAGAAAGCGCCTCATTTCATCCAATCGCTCCGCTCGAGCTCTCTTCAACCACTCCGTTCAGCTTTCCGATTTTCGTCGATCATCGTCAACAGGTATCTCTTCATGGAAGCAGCTTTCTGATACTTACCTTACTTTTTCTCCGGCGATCCATCGCCTGAACGTTTGCTCCATTTCTTTCCAAATTTGTGTTATTTTGTTATCTTTACATCGAATCTGCGACTTCTTTTTTACTGATTCCTATATATGCATGTATGCTATGCAGCTGCTTTAATGCTTTAAGTCACTGTATTGATACTTTGCTTGGATGGCCGATTAAAATCTGATTTTATATCTATTGCACTTGTGACATGCCTGAGCAATCGTCACTCCTTTTTGTGCTCTGCTTGTTTCATGGAAAATGATTTCAGGAAAATCGTATACAGATTCAACATCATAAATGAACTAAACGGTGGATA